TGATGGCCCATTCATCACAAGACTGTTGACTAGGATGGGATTCGGAGACCGGTTTCTGAGGATGGAGGAGAGCTCCAGTTTTCTTGCTTTGACCCGGCTCCCCGAGGTCAACACTGGAGTGGCGAGGAGGAGGGCACAGGCGCAGCCGACAGCAGCAGCAGGGGGAGGACACCGGGCAGATGATGATGATGATGATGATGAGCATGACGAGGATGAGACTGATGAGGAGATGGAGGCAGCTGCACACCAGGTTCCCTATGATGCACCCCCCTACGACAACACTTTTCCCGATACTTGGGCGGCAATGCATGCACATCAGGATGTCGTGTACCATCAGTTGTCTACTGAGCAGCACGAGCGTTTTGACCAGATGCGCTTTGAGCAGCATGACTTTTATCGAGAGATGAGGGAGGATCAGGCGCTGCCCTATACACAGCTCCAGTCCCAGTACACGTAGATCGATGAGCGCCTCACTTCATTGGAGGATAGCTGGCGCTCATTCTTTGATGGATACCCGCCACCTCCCCCTCCTGAGTATTAGAGTTCTGATTAGATTGTCCTCTGCTAGCCTCTGTATTATGATTATGTTGGATGATTGTACCATAAACACTCTCACGCTCTCACTATTACACTTAACTCTCTATATTGCTATGCTTTGTTGTTTCATGATGTGTTGCAGCTCAAACAAATGCTTAGTGGATGATGTGCCGCGCGATCAAAGACCCAGTTTAGTTCCAGACCGACCAACGCTATAGAGAAGTTTCAATGACTCTTTTTACTCGCTGCGTAATGTTAACTTGAGTTGATTTTGAGCATGCGTGACCCTTTCCTCTTTACCCCTAGTGCATAGTGCATATTTGGTCATCGAGGGCGATGCCAAAGTTTAAGTGTGGGGGAGTGAATTGGGCATTCGGGCAGTAGTTGTTACATGTGATTTTTAGAGTTAGCATGCACAGGTGTTAGTTGTATATCCATAGGAAATTCATGTCAAATTTTTGAAAATTTTTCTTTAAACTGTGTCTTTGTGAGCTGGCTAGCGTATGACTATGCTTTTAAAATTTCCTTGAAGTTTATAGGCTTAAATTGTTTGCACTAGAATCTGGTTGTTGAAAGGATGAAGGCATTAGTCACTGCACCCATGTAATGAATTAATAGTTTTCCCATTGACCTGAGTAAGACCCTTTAGGAGAAGCCATTTTGAGCCTGACCGTTCTTTGTTTACCCAATTAATTGAGCTCCATAGCCAAATGGCATGTTTCCTTACCCGTGAATATTTCTGATTTAGTCTTGATGTTTAGGGAACTAGGGGATTAATTTACTAGGTTTAGGGAATTTGTGTAGGAGCCATTTTTGGCACTGTTCCTATACCCATAAGGTACCCTACCTTAGTCCACATGAACCAATGAGAATGTAACAGTTGAATTATTTAAATCTAAATTAAAAATGGTAAAGTGATGTGGTCCAATCAAATGAATGGTAGGTACGGTACCCCATTTTTTTAAAAGGTACCGGAGTTGTCAACAAATCCTAATACTTGGCAATTACTAAAAATAATGTATAATTAATTAGGGATAATTACTTAACATAAATAAATACTAGTATGAATATTGAGACCGTTTCTCGTATTTTTCAAAAACACCGTGTGATAGACTGATAGCGTGAAAATAATCGGTTTTAAAATCCGCCCTCCTCTAGCTATTGCTCGCTCGTTTGCTCCTCATCCTGTTTTTCTGCTCGCCGACATTGTTGAAGCTCTAATTTCTGGTTAGCTCTAATAATTCTGTGCTTTATTTGCTTTTGTGATTTTACATACTTGTTAATGGGTTTAAATTCTTCTCCATACAGCCATACTTAATTACTTATCTTTTATTCGGTTTTCATCCTTGTATATGTGATGAAATTTTGTCTTAATTTGTACTACACCTGTTCTTAAATAAATGCAATACTTTGACTTTTACATTATTCAAATGTTCTATTTTGACTACGTTTAATTTATTAATGTATTAATATATATTTTGAAAAAATATTGTTATATTTGTCTCATTGTAAATTTTCAAAATCTAATTTTATTAATTTTTTTACTAATCAAGAAATATATATTTATTAACGGTCAAAGTTGTGTCTCGGCAAATGTGAAATGTTGACTGTTGCATTTATTTAAGAACGGAGGAAGTATTTAATTCAGTTTTAATTTTAGTAATTTGAATTATTTATACTACGAATTACTACGTATAATTCTTTTCAAAAAAGTTTTAGGTTGTCGAGTAGCCATTATTGCATATTATATGATAAAACCGCCATATATTAGTTATGTGTAAGAAGCTGCTGTTCTTTCAATGTTTTTTTGAACTTTTTTTAGTGTTATATTCTTTCAATGTATTTAATAATTTTGTCTGTGGGTTCTTCGGATCTATGTTGAGTATGTTCCGTAGTTTTGGGAATGAAAAAGAATACTAGAAGCTAGCTGTTAAAATTGAAACATTACTGCATGCATTTTTGGCTTATTCGACTCCGGTAACCATTTAAAAAATGAGGTATTGTACGGTTGTACCTATCACTCACATGATTTGTCCAAATCATTAAATCATTTTTAATTTAGATTTAAATAATTCAACTGCAACATTTTGATTGGTCCAAGTAGACAAAGGTATGGTACTTTTTGGGTACCATAGAATCTACCTATATATAATATATAATACGTAGTACTTCCTAATTGAATAATATCTAGGCTATGTTTTTCTTTTTTCTTTTTTATAAAAAATTTTAGGTCAAGTTTCAAACTCTGTAGAAGTGTAGTACGGGTGGGAAAGGTTAGTCGGAGTAGGCTAGAATCTGGATACTGAAAGCAGGGTTCACTGATCCGAAATTCTGAACTCCCTTCTCCCCGGTCTTGAATTGGTCCTTATTTTCATGAACTCATTTCTATTTATTAAGGATGGCAATGGAGGCGGGGCCCGTGGGGAACCGCCCCGTGGGGGGAGTTGGGGCGGGTGGTGGGGTGGGGCGGGTGGTGGGGTGGGTGAGATATTTTCTCCCCGCAAAAATATGGGGCGGGTGATGGGTTATGCACCCCCCGCACCGTCCCCGCCCCGTCCCCCGTAATAATTAATAATAATAATCTCAATAATAATACTAATAATAATAGTAATACTAATATGAAGTAATTAAAATAGCATGGTGGTCCGGTGGGTTTAGTGGTTTCCTATCTAATGGATTGTGCGTAATGGATCTATCTAATTCTTGTTTAATAACTAAGCTATCTTGTAAAATTGTTTATCAAAATCATAAAGTAAAATGATTTTTTTAGAGATAAAATAAAATTAATTTGGGAAAGTTATAAAGTGATATTAGCTTAAACGCCTCAGGCACGGTGCGAAAGTTTTTTTCCTTTACTATTATAATGCATTAATTCTTTTCTTTTGAATGTCATCTTTATGATTGTAGTTAGGGCTCTTAAAATTTGGTGATCATATGTCGTCCTAGATGACGTCAAATGACCATGATTGATTGAATGCAGGGTTTAAGAAAATATTATAGAGCTAATCAATGCTAATTTAGAGTTTGATAAAAATTACTAATTTAGAACGCGTATAATGTGTTCTAGATTTGAAATGGGATGTAAGATTACATTGACACTTGAAAAGTAAAAAAAAATGGCTACTAGAAGTGTTGTTAAATTTTTGAAAAATTGTCAGAGTCTAAAATGATGTTAATTTTTGACGAGTACTTCCCCATTGGGTACCCGTGGGTCTAGCGGGTCGGGGCGGGGGATGGGGCGGGTCGAATAGTAGTGGGGGATGGGGCGGGGGTGGGGGCGATTGTTTAGACACGGGGCGGGGGATGGGGGAGTGAACCCCCGCCCCAACCCCGCCCCAACCCCGCCCCATTGCCATCCCTACTATTTATCCTAGTACTCTATTACGGAGTATAAGATTGGGTTTCTATTCATCTCTTATTTAAAGGATCCGCTTTAACTTGCATTCATGTTAAGAAACTATTTTTTTGACGGCAAATTTGAATAAATTGCATTTTGAAACATTTATGTTTATGTATTGATATGGTAATATTTTGATTCAAATACCAAAACGTAATAATACCAATAATTAAAGTACTAATGTACCATTTATGCATTTCACCCTATTTTTTGAGATTGTAGTTCTGACTTAGAGCATCTACAATGGTTAGCTAACCATGTTATGACTTTGCTTGCCACATCATTTTTTTCTAGTTAATCCATGGGATAGTCCAATAATGGTTAGTCACATTGCTTGCATCTTGAATAGGCCCCACAAATCAATCAATTTTGAAAATATACATTTTTGAATGGATTGATTTATTAATATAATATTTTATAAAATATTTTCAAATCGATCATGTTGACAAGTAAACGTAACCAAACTTCTAGCAGATGGATCAAGTTGATCATCAACTATGACTTTGACCAAACATTAGTCCAACACCCAACATTAAGCCGACAAGGGTGAAAATGCGTATTATGAAAATTAGTTCAATAAGATGTATTTCGTTAAGTAAAAAAAATAAGGAATATCAAATTTTAACAACACATGCATACTGAAAAATATCAGCTTTTGCTTAAATATTTCATGAGTAATACTTGTTGTATGAATTTTCATAGCCCTCTATTTGAAGACCTTACGTAGTGACCATAGAGATGGAGTACGAGAAAATATTGCATAACTCAATTTTCAAACCATTCTCTATATATAATAACGACATGAGATTGAAATTACTTTTTATTAATTTAATATATCAATTACAAATAAATTAAATATAATTGGTAATTACCATTTTAATTTAAGTTTCTCTCCTTCCTAGCAATTAGATTGTTTTGGCTAATTTGCTTGCCCAAGCTAGAAAGATAGATGCACTCCAATGGTAAGTTAGTAACTTGAAAATTGCAAGCAAATCCCTATAAACAATCATTGGAGATGCTCTTAAATGATTCTCTCTTGGTGGCTTGCTTGAACATTTTCTGGTGCAAAATTACCCCCTTGGACAGCTAAGGGTTCATGATCTACTTTCTCCAAATAGTTTTCTTTAATTGTCTCATCATACAGCTCATAATTATCAGTTTTTCTTTTCCTCAGGTCTTTCAGAGATGGAAAATAGCAAAGTAAAAGAAGAGACTGTTCTCGGTCTTACGTACAAAAAAGATGAAAGCTTTTGGAAATGGTATTCTGAGGTAAGTGTTGAAGATGAAGAAACTCATACAACATACTGCGGAAGAAAAATTTACCATCTTTATTTTAAAAAAAACTAAAAGAAAAATTATATTTATTTTATTACATCTTAAATTATTAAAAATGTTTTTAGTGGAAGTAACGTTATGAAAATAAGCTTCAGTGAAGTATCTTTACATTCTAGATCGAAGTATGTGAACATATGTAAGTAGTTTTACTACAAATTCAACTATGTAAGAACATACTTAGCTTGTTAATGCATTTTATCATGGGGTAATTTGAGTTTGCATCCCATATTATTGTGCAAATTGGACTTCGCATCCCATATTATTGTGCAAATTGGACTTTGCACCCCGTTTTTTAAAAACTTTGTTTTTGCACCCCAACCCCATATGAAAAGACAAAAATGCCCCTCCACTAACAATTTTGTTGACCTTCAACATATTCCTGATGGATGGCATTTTTGTCTTTTCATATAGGGTTGGGTGCAAAAACAAAGATTTTTAAGAACGAGGTGCAAAGTCCAATTTGAACAATAAAATGGGGTGCAAACTCAAATTACCTCTTTTAATGTTTTATTATTATTAACGTATCTCAATTTAAAAGGGGTTCCATTAAATTATTATAGTCATTTTATCTTTATACTCCGTATATAAACGACGATATAACTTGTTCCTCTAAATTGAATTACTGTATTTATAATTTGAGTTTTTTACATAAATATTACCAATATTCTTTGGAGTTACAAAAAACTGACAAACAATAACGAACACGTTCTGCAGCATGGGAGTAAGGTAGGCCATGAGGTCATATTTTTGTTAGTGGGGTTTAAAGTAGTTATATTTGTGTGATTTTTTCTAATAATTTTAGTCCTTTACATTGAAGTTTTATGTTGTAATTTTGTATTACAACTACACGAGGTGACAACGATTAAGAGTCTCTTCAGTCACACTCAATTTGGTTGAATTTGCTAGATCTGTTCAAATTGTTGAAATTCTAACGATACTGGTTGAATCCGTTGAATTATGAAAAAATTATATTCAAAATATATGGATTATTTTATTAATAGAATAAATAAAAAATATTGAAAATGGTTAAAATGGTCCTTTATAATAATTTCAATCACTTCAACCTTACTTGTTTTTATTTTTAAAAAAATTCAATGCGCAAAATAAAAAGTTACATATTTGGTAAAAAAAAAAGTTAGTTGATAAAGCTGGTAAGCTGCAAATATGGGTTACTAGATGGGTTTTAAGGATGTTTTTAAATTTTAAAGTCTAGTTAGGTCTGACATGAACTAGTCTGATACAATAGTTTACTATCTGATTTAATCTAGACTACTATTGCCCGATGCCCCGATCTAGTTTATTTAAGTTAGCCTAACCGATTTGATGTGGTCTTGGACTGAAATTATTCAACAAAAAACATGTTAATAAGAAAACAGAGAGGTTTGTTGAGAAAAAAAAAAGATTTAACAAACATTTTAATCAACCGTTCTTTCCTAGCTTTGATTTGCATGTAACACAGTAATCAACTCACATCACCATCCAGGCATCTGCAATTCTGCACATTAAGAGTTTTTCTTGCCAGCACATATAATACACCTAGAACATACATGGGGCCAAACAATTCTTCATGTACTAGTGCTTCAATGTGGTGGTTTGTCACACCAAAATATCATTCGTTTTTTTCTAGTCACAAATGCTAGTGCTTCGATGATCTCAAATTGTTTAGTGTTCTCATTTGACAATAATATAGGTGGTCGCTAATGGTGAAATGATTGAGCACTATGAAATATCTGGCCTTTTCACTTTGCTTCCTTGGGCTATATCCGTCTGGGAGATTATAAAAGTAAGTTTTTTACTCTGGTCTTTCTTTTGTCTTTCAATTTCAAAATCAAGACTTGCTAAGTAAGATAAACTACTTTGCAAATGCATTGAATAATCCTATAAAATTTTGCAGAGCTTCTTTGATGCTGAAATTAAGAAAATGAAGATTAAGAACTGCTACTTCCCACTTTTTGTGTCTCCTGTGAATCTAAAAAAACAAAAGGACCATGGGGAGTGATACGTTTGTAATTTCCGTATGTTTATTTACGCTTTTAGTTAATTTTGATTGTTTAATATTTCGGAAATTACACACTTTCGGTGTAATAGTTTAGTTTGTTAAATTCTTGTAATTTGTTTAGATTAGGTTTATTCTGAGCCTAAACAGGTCCAAGATCAATCAAATGATCAATGGTGAAGGAAGGTGCAAGAGTACAAGACAAAAAGTAGGAAAAATCCTGATTATTGGTCTATACTCGGTCGAGTATATACATATACTCGATCGGGTATCTGGTTGACATTTCAAATCGGATCGGATCCGAAAACAAAGGAACATGCAGGAGAAGATTTTCCCACGTTCGAGTGTCTATACCCGATCGGGTATACTTATATACTCGATCGGGTATAGCTATAAAAACTACCCGAGTATTGATCGAGTATAGGGCGAATTCGATGTTCTACACATACTCGATCGAGTATGTATATATACTCGATCGAGTACTCGACCTGCACCTCAAAAAGCCTATAAATACACCTCCTTTCCTTCACTTTTAGGACACCAATTCCTTTATACTTTTAAGCTCAGTTTAGAATAGTATTTCTTTTATATTTTTATAGCATGTTTAGTCTCCAAATGAGGAGCTAAACTTCCATTTCTTGGTTTTGCTCTTGAAGCTTGATTGATTATTAAAGTTGTGAGTTATTTTCTTACTCTCTCTTCTTGATTATTAATTCTTCCCTTAATCTCATTCTACATCATTGTTGGAGGGTTGCTAAGTGACGATTAGTTAACGTTCCAACATTGATTATTACTAGAAACGATCAACGAACCAATGGTTAATCGTTGATAGTTTCACAAGTAAGTAACTTCGGTTTGTTAATGCACGGTCGTGGTTAATAAACTTAAGAGGGATCAATTTTGTTGGTTAAACCGAAACCGTTGCGTTGAGGTTATCAATCTCAATTGATTTCATCAAGGAGTTAAATAGATTGAATGCTACTATTATATCGGTATACGGCGTTGTTCTATATTTGAATTAAATCCCATATAAATCGTTCATCTTCGTGTTTAATTTAATTAAATCACTCAACAATCAAAACCCCCCCTTTTACTTACTATTTATATAAAAAGAAAGTTATTCCTTTCCCTGTGGATACGAACTCTACTACACTATACTACGTATAAGTGTTAGTGTTGAAATTACTTTGAGTGCACTCACGACAAAGTGCACGTCAAATTTGGCGCCGTTGCCGGGGAAAGGCAATTATTTTTCTTTTTATTTTATTTCAAGAAAAATCAAAAAAAAAAATATATATATGGTTCAAAGTATAAAGATTTCTATTTCTGCTGAGCTTTGTAGTACATGGTAAAATATCGTTCACTGAACGAAATCACATACCACTCAAACCCCGAAATAGAACGAACTCTCGAGCGGTTGAAAAACAAATTTTCAAACTCCGACTCGGGAGAATCATCAAGCACTAGTTCTCAATCTAGTGAAACCGAAGAGCCAATCACCATGGCTCATGAAACGAGAACATTAAGGGAGCTCACGGCTCCGAATCTAAATCAACAACCCCTTTGTATCACTTTCCCAACTCTTGATACGGGGGTCACATTCGAGCTAAAATCTGGGCTCATCCATCTACTCCCATCTTTCCATGGCCTACGGGGGGAAGATCCGAACAAACATCTGTCGGAGTTTCATATTGTGTGCACAAGCATGTGCCCCAATGGCGTGTCCGAAGAGCAAATCAAGCTGAGAGCCTTCCCTTTCTCTCTAAAAGACACCGCCAAGGACTGGCTTTTCTATCTTCCCTCGGGTAGCATCAATACATGGGCTCAAATGAAAAAGAGCTTCCTCGACAGGTATTATCCCGCATCTATCTCTTCAAGTCTCAAAAAGCAAATCAGCAACATTGAGCAAGCCGATGATGAGACCTTGTACGAATATTGGGAGCGCTTTAAGAAATTATGCGCTAGCTGCCCATATCATGGATATTCGGAACAAGATCTCATCCTCTACTTCTATGATGGGCTTGTTGATCAAGATAGACGCATGGTGAATGCGGCATGTGGAGGGGGTATTGTCAACAAAACCCCTTCTCAAGCAAGGGACCTCATCTCCGAGTTGGCCGAAAACTCGAGGCATTATAATGGGAGGTCATCATCAAAAAGAGTTATGGCAGCGGAATCCAACAATTCGTTGGAAAGTCAAGTGGCCGGCTTGACTTCTTTGGTCAAAGATTTTCTTTTGAGTCCAAAAACCCAAGAAGTCAAGGCCTGCGGCATATGCTCAACACAAGGGCATCCCACTGATTCTTGCCCAACATTACAAGAGGAGAACCCCGAGCAAGTCAATGCTTTGGGTTTCCAAGGTCAAAGAAGATATGATCCTCACGGCAACACTTACAATCCGGGGTGGAGGGATCATCCCAACTTAAGGTACGGAAACTCTCAACCTCCTCAACAATCAAACCCTCCCCCTCAACAATATAAGCAACAAGGTCAAACATCGAACTCGAGCATGTCCACCGAAGACATGATTCGATCACTTGCCATGAACATGGCTACGATGCAACAAAGTGTGACCCAATTCCAAGAAACAACAAAATCAAGCATCCACAATTTGGAAAACCAAATGAGTCAAATCTCAAATGCCGTAAGTAGGCTTGAAGCTAAGGATTCGGCAAAACTCCCATCTCAAACTGAGCCGAATCCAAGGCAACAAGCTCACGCGGTCACTTTGAGAAGTGGCAAAGAGTTGGTTATGGCTAAAGCAAAAGCAAAGAGCCATGTTGGGGAAGAAGAGGAGGATATCTTGGTGCCAAGCACAAATCCTCAAAATGAAGAGGAGAAGGAGGAGGAAGTCACACCTCAAAGAAAGTTTCCACCGCTCAACTCATACGAGCCGGTACCACCTTTCCCGGAGGCTCTCAAGGACAACCGCAAATACAACAATGACAAAGATATCTATGAGACCTTCAGTAAATGTGAGGTAAATATCCCTCTTCTCAACTTAATTAAAGGCGTTCCTAGATTTGCTAAGTTTTTAAAAGAACTTTGCACTATTAAAAGGAAACACAAACTAAATGGCAAGCATAAAATCCAAGTTAGTGAAAGAGTTTCAGCCGTTTTCCAAAAGAAACTTCCTAAAAAGTATAGTGACCCGGGAATGTTCACTATACCATGTAAGCTGGGAAATTCTAGTTTTTCTAGGGCTATGTTAGATTTGGGTGCATCAATTAATGTCATTCCATACTCTCTATATAAGTCCCTAGAACTAGGACCTCTACATGAAACGGGGGTTGTTATCCAACTTGCCGATAGATCCAATGCTTACCCAAAAGGTGTAGTAGAGGATGTACTCGTCATGGTGGATAATTTAATCTTTCCCGCTGATTTTTACGTTCTCGAAATGGAGAACGATAAAAATGCAGTCCCGATTTTACTAGGAAGACCCTTTTTAAAGACGGCTAAGGCAAAAATAGACGTTTTTAGTGGAGTATTAACTATGGAGTTTGATGGTGAGAAAGTTGAATTTAATATCTATGACTCCATGAAATACCCCACCGATAACCACTCTCTTTTTGCCATTGACACTTGTGACACTTGGGTCCAAGATGTGTTTGAAGTCGAGGGGAAAGACGAATTGCTAAGCTCAATTGAGAACAACGTAGAGAATTTCACTATGGAATACTCTATGTCAAACAACATGAAGATGATGGTGGCGGAGTTAAATCAACTCCCACTTTTGCCACCGGGCTCTAAAGCCCTCCCACTAACCATTCCGAGCGAGAAGCCGCTACCATCTGTTTTGCAGGCACCGGAGGTGGAATTAAAACCACTCCCTGAAAATTTGAAGCATGTGTTCTTGGGCGAAAATCACACTCTACCGGTGATTATCTCAAACTCCTTAGCCCAAGAACAAGAGGAAAGATTGATTGCGGTCCTCAAGGAATACAAGTTGGCCATTGGATGGTCTATCGCCGACATCAAAGGCATTAGTCCATCCACATGCATGCACCGGATCCTACTCGAAGATGAGGCCAAGGCGGTGAGGCAACCGCAAAGAAGATTGAACCCACCCATGATGGAGGTGGTGAAAAAAGAAGTGATCAAGTTACTCCAAATGGGAATCATATTTCCCATTTCCGATAGCCAATGGGTAAGCCCAACACAAGTGGTGCCGAAGAAGACCGGAGTGACGGTCATTGAAAACAAAGAAGGCGAAATGGTGCCCACCCGAGTCCAAAACGGGTGGCGAGTTTGCATTGACTACCGAAGACTCAATTCGGTAACTCGAAAAGACTTTTTTCCACTACCCTTCATTGATCAAATGCTAGAAAGACTAGCGGGGCACAAGTTCTATTGTTTTCTTGATGGTTACTCCGGGTATTTTCAAATACCAATAGCCCCGGAGGACCAAGAGAAAACAACCTTCACATGTCCTTTTGGCACTTTTGCCTACCGACGAATGCCCTTTGGATTATGCAACGCACCGGGCACCTTTCAAAGGTGTATGATGAGCATCTTCTCCGAATTTGTGGAGGTGTTCATGGAGGTCTTTATGGATGATTTCACAATTCATGGGGACTCCTTTGACACCTGCCTCTACCATCTTACTCTTGTGCTCAAAAGTTGTATTGAATCCAACCTTGTCCTAAATTCTGAAAAATGCCACTTTATGGTAGAACAAGGGATTGTTCTTGGACATGTGATCTCCTCAAAAGGCATTGAAGTAGACAAAGCCAAGATTGATGTCATCCAAACACTCCCGTACCCAACAAATGTACGGGATATTCGATCTTTCCTTGGACATGCCGGATTCTATAGAAGGTTCATAAAAGACTTCTCTAAAATTTCATCTCCCCTATGCAAACTCTTGCAAAAGGAGGTGGAATTTGATCTCAATGCCGAATGCAAGGAGGCTTTTGACACATTGAAAGAAAGGTTGGTAACCGCCCCTATCATACAAGCTCCCGATTGGTCTCTTCCTTTTGAGATCATGTGCGACGCAAGTGATTATGCTGTGGGGGCTGTTTTAGGCCAAAAAGTCGGGAGGGCTTCTCATGTAATCTACTATGCCTCATCGACTTTAAATGAAGCTCAAAAGAACTACTCCACCACCGAGAAGGAAATGCTAGCAGTAATCTTTGCCTTAGAGAAGTTTCGTGCCTACCTTCTTGGAACGAAAGTTATTGTTTACACCGATCATGCCGCTCTACGATTCCTCATGACAAAGAAGGAGGCCAAACCAAGACTCATTCGATGGGTCCTTCTATTAAGTGAGTTTGACTTGGAGATAAAAGACAAGAAAGGAGCGGAGAACTTGGTGGCCGATCACTTAAGCCGCCTCATTCCTCACAAAGACATTGAAGACCTTCACTCAAATCTCATCAAGGGTGAATTCCCAGACGAGACCCTTTTCGCCATCAAAGTCACACAACCATGGTACGCCAACATAGTAAATTTTCTTGTTTCCGGCAAATTTCCTCCACAATTCTCAAAATCACAAAAAGAAAAATTAAAAATGGACTCAAGACTCTATGTGTGGGATGACCCATATTTGTGGAAACATTGTAAGGATCAAATAATCCGAAGATGTATCCCCGAATATGAGATAGCTCACATCATAGAGTTTTGCCATTCTTATGCTTGTGGAGGACATTTTGGCCCGAAACGGACTGCAATGAAAATTCTCGAAAGCGGATTTTGGTGGCCAAGTCTTTTTCGTGATGCGAATGGTTTTTGTCGGGCTTGTGACAATTGCCAAAGGATGGGCAACATCTCAAGGAGGAACGAAATGCCACAAAACCCCATGCTTTTCTGTGAGATTTTTGATGCATGGGGTATCGACTTCATGGGGCCTTTTCCAAACTCTCAAGGTAACATCTACATCCTACTTGCGGTAGATTACGTCTCCAAATGAGTGGAGGCAAAAGCAACAAAAACCGATGATGCCAAGGTGGTAGCAAACTTTCTCAAGTCTCACATATTTTCAAGGTTCGGGGTCCCTCGAATTTTAATAAGCGACCGAGGCACACATTTTTGTAATAAAATTGTGGGATCCCTACTGAAGAAATATGGTGTGACTCACAAGATCTCCACTGCTTACCACCCTCAAACTAATGGCCAAGCGGAGACCTCAAATAGGGAGTTAAAATCTATACTCCAGAAAACAGTGAATCCAAACAGGAAGGATTGGAGTATTCGCATTGATGATGCACTTTGGGCATACCGAACCGCCTACAAAACCCCAATCGGTATGTCACCTTATAGACTTGTGTTCGGAAAAGCTTGTCACCTTCCCGTAGAGCTTGAACACAAGTCATATTGGGCAGTAAAAGAATTCAACCTCAATCTTGACGAGGCCGGTATACACAGGAAGCTCCAATTACAAGAATTGGAAGAACTCCGCCTGGATTCTTATGACAATGCGGAGATTTACAAAAGAAAGACGAAGGAGTGGCATGATAAAATGATCATAAGGAAGGATTTCAAACTTGATGACAAAGTCCTCCTATTCCAATCACGCCTTCGTCTATTTCCGGGAAAGTTGAGATCCCGTTGGGCCGGACCATACAAAGTGGTCAAAATCCATCCACACGGGGCGGTGGAAATTGAAGACCCGGAGACGGGAGAAGTACTCAAAGTGAACGGACAAAGACTAAAACCCTTCTTTGAAGGTTTTCAACCCAAGAACGTGGAGATCATAGACCTTTCTGAACCGGTCTATGAATGAAAGGGAAACGAAGATATCGTCGAGCCACGACGTTAAACAAAGCGCTTCTTGGGAGGCAACCCAAGCAAGGTATGTTTTCTTGTCAGCTTATTTCATTATGTGTGTGTTTCAAAATAAAAAATAAAAAATAAAAAAATGAGCAAAAAGTGTATCTGGGTACATGCCCGATCGAGTACTATATCAATACTCGGTCGGGTATGGGTAAAAAAAAAGGACCCGGTTCCCATACTCGATCGAGGTGCAAATCTATTTTCAAAGATACAGGCATACTCGATCGAGTATTGGAACATACCCGGTCGAGTATGCCTGGAAAATCAACTCCATCGGAAGCCTGCCTCTGAGGCCCGATCGAGCACATACCCATACTCGATCGAGTATTTGTGGAAAAATGAAAACAAATAACCCCTGCCTCCTATACCCGATCGAGTACATATCAATACTCGGTCGAGTATAGGTGCAAAAACAACTTCTCTGACCCCCTGCCTCCTGTACTCGATCGAGTATAGGTACATACTCGGTCGAGTATACACCGAAAACAGCCTTCCTGGAACCCTGCCTCCGGTACCCGATCGGGTATACAGGGATACTCGATCGGGTACCCCTGCGGATATAACACCAAATTAACCCCAAAAACACTTCATCTTCCCCAAACTCTCCCCAACTTCGAACAACCCTCCCCCAAAAAACTCCATTTTTGGACCTTCTCTCTACCATATCTCACCCAATCCTTCACCAAATCATCCCATTTCACCACCAAAATACCCCCCTCACTCTCCTCTCCATATCTATACCCAAAAATCCCCTTTTCCCCAAATATCCAACAAATCCAAAAAAAACCCTACCCCCATTCGAATTTTTGGATTTCAAGCTCAAATTCATCAACAATGGCACCAAGGAAGAATAGGGGAGAGAGCTCAAGCACCATAGCACCTATTCCGGGTTTTGAAGACATCATTCCCGCCGACGCCGAGCACCGAACTAGACTCCTAGCAACAACACAAAGGCAAGTAAAACCTTCCCGTTTTCTATGCCATGATGCTCTACGTGAATTAGGAGTCTATAAAAGCTGTAGAAAATTCTTTCATGCATTAGATATGGACCGTATTTTCAATATGAAGTACAATTCTAATGAACGAATTATCTACGAATTCTTGAGTTCGGTGAAGTTTGAGAGTGATGAGACGGATTTTAGGGATGATAAACTCGAGTTTCGTCTATTTAACCAAAACTATTCAATCACGAAACTCGAGTTTGCTGAACATTTTGGCATCCCGGTGCCCTACGAGAGAACCATCTCGGATAACACCATTTTTGGGCACTCCCTATGGACAAAGATGACCGGGGAAGTGAACTTTAAATCCTCCCAAATGTATATTAGTCATGTCCAACACCCCGTGCTCCGGTTGTTCCTAAAATTTTTGGCGAATTGTTTGCTTGGCCGTCCCAACAACCATCACACTAGAATCGGGGACGTGTGTTTGATATCCGTGGCCTTATTCCGTCGCCACGTGGACTTTAATCTGTGCAATCTCATGTGGGCACATTTAAAGAAAGAAAGCTCAGCAAAAGGGACAATAGTTGTGGGTGGAGTGATAATGCACTTGGCAAGTAGGTTCGGATATACGGATAACTCCCCTATACCCGACTATTGCTTAATGGATATAGGTTGGCTAGGACGCTCGGGATGTACATCTTTCTCCCACACGGTCTATATTGGAGACCAACCAAAAAACATGTACAATTGGGTCATACACGTACAACCTGTGCAATACTTCCTAATGCCAAACCCGGACACCCCCAAACTACGCTACAGACCGGAGTTCGAGGAGCCTCACTACCTATTCCCTCACGCCCTTCCACCACATCTCCAAGAACCGCAAGCCCAAGATCTCCCCGAAGACCAACCCGACCAAGAGCCTCAACCCGAGTATCAAGAACCCGAGGTTGCACATCACCACATGCCCGAACCGAACCAAGCTTCCCCACCTCCCGCTTACTTCCAACAACTGCTTGACGGATTCAATAGAGTTACCAATGAAGTTGGTAAATACCGGGAGGAACAAAGGGCGGGATTTCAAAGACTAGAGGAGCAACGGGCCGAAGATAACCGAAGGTATGAAGAAGATCAACGTAGGTTCTATGGACCTATGTATTCCTACATGGCTCATCAAGGCCAATTCCACACCATGGCTCAACCACCACCACCCCCCTCTTGGTATGACCCCACTCAATGGGGCAATTTCGGAGGATCTAGCTCCGGGGGTGGAGGTTTTGATGGAGGGGATGATGGCGGCGACACCCACATGGGCGATGGGAGCTTTGGAGGAGGCTTTGGAGGCGGTTTCTACGGCGGAGAAGGCGGGCACTAGGGACAGTGCTTCAACTAAGTGTGGGGGAGGAGATTACTCATGGTATGTAATTTCATTTTCTACCTTTTACTATGCATGAATTTCTTTTACCCTTTGTAAACAAAAAAAAAAAAAAAAAAAAGAAGAGAAAAATGGATAAAAGAATTAAAATGCTAGTTAGGTTGAAAACCCAAAAATGGGCAATCTAAGCAAAAAAATGGCTTATAAAAAAATGAGTGAGTTAGTGAGGATGGAAAAACAAAAAGAGATGCTAGGATGAAAACCTGAAAAGGCTCCTAGGCAAAATGAGAGATATGAGAGAAATATTTGTTATGTGCAGGAACTCATTTGATCTCTTGAGGAGAAAAGAAGAGAAGGCAAAGAAGAAGAGGCAAGAAGATGGAGCATAGAAGATCATAAAACCCAAGAAAGAAAGTTGTTTGTAAAATCATTTTTTCTTGGTGATCTTAGTTCATTTCTTTCTTGAACTCATGGAATGGTCTTAAACTGTTTGAACATTTGACTTTACTCGAGGACGAGTAAAGAACTAAGTGTGGGGGAGTTGATACGTTTGTAATTTCCGTATGTTTATTTACGCTTTTAGTTAATTTTGATTGTTTAATATTTCGGAAATTACACACTTTCGGTGTAATAGTTTAGTTTGTTAAATTCTTGTAATTTGTTTAGATTAGGTTTATTCTGAGCCTAAACAGGTCCAAGATCAATCAAATGATCAATGGTGAAGGAAGGTGCAAGAGTACAAGACAAAAAGTAGGAAAAATCCTGATTATTGGTCTATACTCGGTCGAGTATATACATATACTCGATCGGGTATCTGGTTGACATTTCAAATCGGATCGGATCCGAAAACAAAGGAACATGCAGGAGAAGATTTTCCCACGTTCGAGTGTCTATACCCGATCGGGTATACTTATATACTCGATCGGGTATAGCTATAAAAACTACCCGAGTATTGATCGAGTATAGGGCGAATTCGATGTTCTACACATACTCGATCGAGTATGTATATATACTCGATCGAGTACTCGACCTGCACCTCAAAAAGCCTATAAATACACCTCCTTTCCTTCACTTTTAGGACACCAATTCCTTTATACTTTTAAGCTCAGTTTAGAATAGTATTTCTTTTATATTTTTATAGCATGTTTAGTCTCCAAATGAGGAGCTAAACTTCCATTTCTTGGTTTTGCTCTTGAAGCTTGATTGATTATTAAAGTTGTGAGTTATTTTCTTACTCTCTCTTCTTGATTATTAATTCTTCCCTTAATCTCATTCTACATCATTGTTGGAGGGTTGCTAAGTGACGATTAGTTAACGTTCCAACATTGATTATTACTAGAAACGATCAACGAACCAATGGTTAATCGTTGATAGTTTCACAAGTAAGTAACTTCGGTTTGTTAATGCACGGTCGTGGTTAATAAACTTAAGAGGGATCAATTTTGTTGGTTAAACCGAAACCGTTGCGTTGAGGTTATCAATCTCAATTGATTTCATCAAGGAGTTAAATAGATTGAATGCTACTATTATATCGGTATACGGCGTTGTTCTATATTTGATTAATAGTAAGGGTTATTAATGAACGGTCGTTGTTAATAACTACCCTCGATGAACTGGTTATACTCCGCGATTGAGTATTCGAGAGGGGATAAGTTATGGATATAACAATGATCGACTAAAATATATCAACAAGTGGAAAGTAGCAAGACCAAGTCCCTTTTATCTTTGAATTAAATCCCATATAAATCGTTCATCTTCGTGTTTAATTTAATTAAATCACTCAACAATCAAAACCCCCCCTTTTACTTACTATTTATATAAAAAGAAAGTTATTCCTTTCCCTGTGGATACGAACTCTACTACACTATACTACGTATAAGTGTTAGTGTTGAAATTACTTTGAGTGCACTCACGACAAAGTGCACGTCAGGGAGCAGTTTGAATCTGTGGTAAGACTGCATCAATCTGTATGTATATTTCTTTCATGAGCTAGTGGGGATAATCATGAACGACTGCCATTTGAACACTATCCATTTGAACACTGCATAGCTGTTTTTTATTTCATTCTCAACTTTTTGCAGCTTGCTTGGGTTACAAAAACCGGAGACTCTGAGGTGGAAATCCCTTTTACAATTCGTCCCACCAGTGAAACAGTTATGTATCCTTACTTCTCTAAGTGGATTAGAGGTCACCGTGATTTGCCTTTGAGACTGAATCAATGGTGCAATGTTGTGCGGTGGCAGTCCAGCCATCCCACTCCTTTCATAAGGTGTTTGCTATCTAAGGGCTACTCATCTTCTAGCTTTCTCTACTTCTAGCGCCCCCGGCCCCCACCCTCACGCTTTTATGTCATACATGAGTGAGTCGTCTGTAATTTCAGGAGTCATGAATATCTATGGCAAGAAGGGCATACAGCATTTGCAACAAAGGAGGAAGCAGAGGATGAGGTAATTACCTCTTTATACATGGGGACCTAACCCAGAAAAAAATCTTAAATCTTGTGTTGTTTTTTAACCAAACCCCAAAAGCATAAACTATTGACTTTTGATAGCCTGATACAGTGATGCTTCAGTTGTGCATAAACTTTTGACTTGTATTTTTTTGATATTTTTTCATGTTGGCTTTGTTTTTTAGGTTCTTGATATTTCTGAGCTGTATAGAAGTATATACGAAGAGTATTTAGCAGTTCCAGTCACCACGGGACGGAAAAGTGAGATCGAGAAGTTTGCTGGTGCACTTTATACAACAACCGTTGAGGTTCATTTTCTTTACAGAGAAAAGACATTTCACATTGGTTGTTTTCTACACCAGTCAGTTTTTAAGTGTTATCATGGGTAATAAAAGGTGGATACATGTTTCTCCCAGGCTTTTATTCCGAACATTGGGCATGGTATACAAGGTGCAGCTGCACACTGCTTAGGGAACAATTTTGCGGAAGCATTTGAGATAAATTTTGAGAATATGAAAGGAAAAACGGAAAAGGTTTGGCAGAACTCATGGGCATTTAGTACCAGAGCGGTAACTCATTTTAGTCCCTCCCTAATTACCCTGCCTGCACAGTAGTACTGGACATGCATATTTTATCAAGAATTGCCTAGGTTAAGGTTAAAGAATTGCTGCAAATATGAGTGAAACATGAGGAAATGAACAAATAGGAGTGTTTATGTTTTATCTTAGAAAAAGAAATCCTTTAGTCTTACTAAAAGAATAAAAGTAGTTAAAACTTCTTTTTATTAGTGAATGAGTCTATTTTGGTGGAATAACAATGATGGTCCTATTGAACAACTGTGTTATACTTCAATCAGTTGTAAGGATTTTTCTCTTAAGTTAATCATCATTTTACTTGTTTGTAATTCATTGTTTCGTGACAGATTGGAGTGATGATCATGGTTCATGGGGATGATAAAGGGTTGGTTTTTCCACCAAAAGTTGCACCAATCCAAGTGGTTGTTATCCCTATGTCTTACAGTGAGGATGCTGACGCCAAAGTGATTTTTGAAGCATGTGCTGCCACTGTTAAGAACTTGGTGGAAGCTTGCATTCGTGTGGAGGCAGACATCAGAGAACACTATTCATCTGACTGGAAATGTTCTAACTGGGAACTGAAGGGGGTTCCTCTTAGGATTGAAATACATCCCAAAGACCTTGCCAATGACCAGGTAATTTGTCAATAGTATTATTATTTAATAATACCAATAATTATAAGTACTAGTATAATACTATGATGATAAGAATTCGCCATGAATCCATGGCCAGTGTTTGTACTATAGCTTGTAAGAAACCGTAGGACCTGAGAGGTTCCCTTGATTCTTGTTTATACATTGAAGCATATTAAAGAACACAAAATGATGTGTCTTTGTTAGGTAAGAGTTGTGAGGCGTGACAGTGGTGCTAAAACTGATATTCCACTGGCTAACATAGTTGATCATGTAAAAGATGTGCTTGCTGATATTCAACAAAATCTTTTTGACGTTGCAAAACAAAAGCGAGATGACTGTGTCGAGATTGCTGAGACCTGGGATGAGTTTGTGAATGCTCTGAACAGAAAGAAGGTTGTATTAGCTCCATGGTGTGATGAAGAGGTTTGGATACCTGCCTGACTTATAATATTTTTGTGCATTAGATTAGTTTGTTCTTTCCTCGTCCTGGTGTCTTTCTCTCATCTTTCCTTTTCCGTTAGTCCCGCCGCTAATTTAGATAGTTCTGGTCACATGAGTAATAAATTGGCTGGATTATCTCCTCCATTTTGATATATGATTTGTGTAGGCTGTTGAGAAAGATGTGAAAGCAAGAACAGTAGAGAATATGAGCTCGATAAAAACCATTTGTTCCCCACTGGAGCAGCCTGAGCTAACTAAAGGTGCCAACTCTCATATTCATATGCCCCCTGTTTCTTATTATTTGTTTACTTTGACCAAATTAGGAAATTTTTATGATGGATTATAAATCAGTCATTATCTCATTTATGCTCCTCCGGAAAAGGGTAAATGTATTGTGTAACATGGATACAACAACTAACAACATCCAAACATTATTCACAAAAGATTTAGTGTAATATGAATGAGTTGAAAAATACATACGTAGTAATTATCTCATTCATTTGCTTAGTTTTCATAAAAATAAATAAATAAATCAAAATAGGGAAAACTGTCAAATAGGTCCTCGAACTTTCATACAAAGGTCAAATAAGTCCCTATATAGGAGGCTCTGTCCGGCCGTCGCGGTTTGGAGTGGTTCCCAGTGGAATTATTTGATGAAATTTTTTCAGCATCTTATTCATCAACTCAAAAATTTTCATCAAAAAATTCCACCGGGAACCGCCCCAAATCGCAACGGCCGGACAAAGCCTCCTATATAAGAACTTATTTGACCTTTTTATGAAAGTTCGAGGACCTATTTGACAATTTTTCCATCAAAATATGAAAAACATGTCAACTTAAACAGATAAATATTATACGAACACAGGTAAAAACGTTCAATAGGTGCCTGACAGACTTCTTTAGCACATGAAATGAAACTGTAACTTAATCCCTTTACTCCAAATATATGGTGTCTAGCACTTTTACAAAAACTGGTAAGGCAATGCTTATATTGATCCACTCATCTTGTGATTTTGGTAATGTTATTAGTGATGACTGATGAAAGAACGACTTTTTCTTAGTTCATTCATTATAACTGTTTAATGGAATATGACAAATTGACAATAAAAATAGTACTTCTCAAAGTTGAAAATGAGACTATGAGACTATCTAAACTTCTAAAGCCTAAAAACGAAAAAAGTTGTGGTTTGAAATAAAATCATCAGTCTGGTTTAGGTTGGTATCTCCTTTTGACTGTGTTTGTGATATTATTTGATTGTGCTTGCCTGAAATTAACCATCCAGTCCCAATATTTCTGGAGGATTAAAATAACATGCATTGATTTTCTTTCAATCTTAAGAGTTTTCTTTTTTGGTCCGGTGTAAACAGGGCCGGTCCTGACAATTTATAGGCCCGGGACAAATGACAAAAAATAGGCCCCTAATTATATACTCCGTATGTTGTAAGAATGTATTACAAAAGTTTCATTGTCAAAAATAAAATTCGTTACACAAGTAAATATTTTTTGCCATAAAATTACTCGGTATTATAAGCTATACAAAACATTTTTTAGGCATTCTTAAAAGTAAAATTGTCCATAATATTATCAATTTTTAATTCTCGGCTTCTGTGAGGAAAGTAGAAAGTCATCTAGTCGTGTTTCGTTTATAGCTCTGCCGTTGTGGCTCAGTCTACGGATATGAGGGTTGAGGGCAGTGGCGAACCCAGAAACTCAGAATCACGGGGTCCCTAACGTGATGAAATAAGATGATATAAAGCAAAAAATCACATATAAAAGTCATTTTACAATTCTACAAAAGTACCTCATAGGTTTCATTTGTTGGAAATATTATATAATATATAGGTCCACCAACGTGTACATAAAACCTATTTTATTTATTCCATGCTGAAAATCATATTCCCAAAAAATGATTACAACTAACTTCCCACTCATTCGGTCATTACTAAACAAATAACACGGTAAACAAAATGCAGCATCTTTGACAATACTGTATTCCAACCATTTATGCAAATCAAACCAACTTGAAACAAATCTACGTTTGTTGCCGTCAATTACTTTAATAGGGAAATCATGATCCCAAAGTTGAAACGATCATTTTTTTTATAGTAACTACTGCGTACCCTCTCTTGAACATTAGGATGAAATCAGTATGTTGTTCATGTAGATTATACACCACATTAATTTCAGTTTCATCAAGTACTAGATATTCTTTATTTAATAAAGACGAATCATTTGAATGAATATCTTAACTATTCTCCGTACTTTGAATTTGTTAAAATTTTGGTACACTACCGAAATACCTTTTCATCCTTAATCGTAAAATTTCCAAAAAAAAAAAGAAAAAAAAACATTCATAAATACATAAATTTGTTAATTTAATCTTACTATTCAAAGAAATTTTATAATTAATTCAAAAAAAAATTAATTAATAAGAAGTCGATGAGATCTGAGGGAGATACGTGGATGGCATTAATTTTGTTGTGGTAAAGGATCGTTGGAAGGGGTTTAAAAAATGGACCAAAAAACATCATTCGGAGTTTTAAAACAACAAGTTTTAAGGAAGCACCACAAAGAAAAAGAGAATATTACCTAAAATGGGACTAAAAAGGTTTGAAAATTCCAAGGTTTGAAAATTCCAAAATAGGACTGTCATGTTTTTATTCCCAAAATAGGACAGTATTTTCCAAACTTGGCAGTAATTACTCCTATTTTGGGAATAAAAAACATGGCAGTCCTATTTTGGAATTTTCAAACTGTTTTAGTCCTATTTCGGGAACTTTCCCAAAGAAAAATTATCCACGTGATGAATCGAACCTTGCACCTCACGAATAGCAGGACTTTAAACACACGCATGCTACCATTACTCCGCTGCGTCCATTTCGTTTTTAAGTCGCACATCTTTTATATATACATAAATATATACAGGTAAATTTTGTAAAATATATATAATATATATAGGTAAATTTTTCAAAGACCACGGGGTCACGGGACCCCATGGGATCCTTAGTGGGTCCGCCATTGGTTGAGGGGTATCTTTTACGGAGTATTGGAGTATAAGGAAATGATCTGATCAGCAGGCGTGCCTGACAAAATGATCTATTCGAATTTTTTGATAAAATTTTGTGAGCATGTTCTTCACAAACATTAAATTCTTTAAATGAGTTTGGCCATACAGAATTCCTGATCAAGCACGTCTGAGGTGAACGAGACTCAATATATATACTACTGGAGTACTGTTAAATAATTTATGGGCCCCTCTTCCTGGTGGGCCTTGGGCAGCCGCCCATCCTGCCCCTATGTCAGGACCGGCCCTGGGTGTAAACTTCTGTAATCTGGGGTTGGAAACTTGGAATAAGATTAGAAGTATTATGAAAAGATTTTAGATTGGCCATCATAAGTGAAATTTGGTAGTCATATACGACGACATTAAGGTGGATATTATTATCAACTATTCATGGTTTCATATGGTGTTACTCCGTATTTGTTTTGATACGGTTAGTTCCACGTATTTATTTATACATTATTTTTTTCTCCAAAAAGTAATGTGCTTTGCATCTGGAAAACCTGCCAAGAAATGGACTTATTGGGGTCCAAGCTTTTGATAGACTGATTAACAATGAATTGGTTGTTAGATATTTGACATTTGGATCATTCTAAACTTCTATTTATTGGATCTACACTAACTAATTCATTAATTAATCAATCAATTAATTGTATCATGGAACAATGGTGTTTTTAATTATATTGACTTCATTCTCCGATTATATTAGACGAGATCGGATCAAACTCGACAAACTAGCCCAAGTCATATCAAAGTAGATCAGATTAGAAATTTTCAACCAATTAAATATGTCCTAATTGTATTTGTACCACGGAATGTACTAGTTCTATGACATCGCTAGCTAAGAGTATTCATATACATAAACACTCATGTACGGAGTATTTTTTTGGCAAAAAATGATTTTTATGCACAGAGAACTACATGTTTTTACTTGGATTGTAATTTATTGGTCTGGTCTGAACTGGTCCGGTAATGTCTGGTCTTTTTGTATTTTTGTAACTATCCAAGTCTGGTCTGGACTGGACTGGTCCTGGTCTGGGACAGATTACAGTCCAAGTAAAAACATCTGTAGTGGCTTATTTAAGAATTCTCATGTTTTTCTAAGAGTACAATAACTTAATCGACGTTTTCGTGATAAAAGAATGATCAAATTGAAAATTTGCATTTTCTTTAAACATAGTCTTTTATTGCTTACTATATCATACCATAATTTAAATCAATAAACGTTTTTTCGAGAATAAATCAAAAAACGTTAAACAAGCCACTTACAAGATGCATCATGTGCTCGATCAAGGAACATAGTTTGGGACATAGTTTAAGCTCAACATATGTCAATCAAATTATCAACCTTCAGGTCAGTGTAGGCTTGGCCCGGTTCTAGTCCGACCAGCCCAGAAACCGGACCGGCGCGCCACTGTGTGGGACCGGCCCGAACTGGTGAACCGGTACCGGTACCGGGCCTAGGCCCGACCCGGGGGATTAATGGGGGCGGGTCCGATCTGCACATCCTTTAGAACCGGCCCCGGTCCGAGCCCAATTTTTTTTGGGGGGGTTTTTTCAGATTTTTTTGGTGGTAGGCGGGTAGGGCTGGGTGTTTTGGGGGGGTGGGGTGGGGAGGATGGAATTAATTAGAAAAGCAAAAAAAACAACCCGAGCCCGGCCCGGTCTCGGTGGAATCCCGACCCGGTTCCGGGCCTTAACCCACAACCCAAAAGCCCGGTTTGGACCGGCCCGGAACCGGTCCATGCCTAGGTCACTGCTAGTGAAATCCACTCTTTACTTTTAATAGATTCGATTTAGATACTTCTTAATTGTAGGAGTGAATATATAGGAATATTTTTATTAAAAATCGACAGAATCTGCTAATTATAAAAAAAATTATATTTAAAATTTATTTATTAATAAAATAAAAAAATATACATAAAAAATTGTTAAAATGGTCATCTATAATTCTATTGTAACTTCAGTTAATTTTGTTAGAAATAAAAACTTCAACCTTACTTATTTTGAATCTTTGATTGCTACAGAATTCAACTTGTTAAATCAATAGGTTACATGTTTGAAGAAAAAATTGACTAATAAGACTATTAAACTGAAAAACAAAATCACTAAACAGGTTCTAAATTGATAGCTTTTAGATACCTATATAAATCGATAGACGATAGGTGCTTTAAATTATATAGAGAAATTATTACTCGTTATTGAATCTAGGCTAGGGATCAGTTTGGTTTTGGTTAAAATTTGATAGAACCGTTTAAAAAATTGTAGGCGTGAAATTTGATTCGGTTCTAGTGAAAAACGTAGTTGTTAAATTTGGTTCAGTTTTAGCCTTCTTCGTGACGGAGGCCTATTGATGCAGGCAAGCAAATCATTCTTTTACACGTGAGTTCTCTATCATTTGGAATTAAATTTGAGTATTCTTATGAGTTATGAGTGTTATAGTTGCTTACGTTGAGTTTCCACAGTTGAATGGAAACTGTCACATTATTTACGCAGAGGAGAAGGCAGCCGGGACCCGTATTCTCATTGATGGCAGGACTTGCTTACTTCAGGTGCTCTGGAGTTTTATTTACCCACTTCGAATGGTTTTTTATCGTCAAATTTTTGTCCTCATATCGTTTTGGCGATCAAAACTGTAACATTTCAGTCTCGAAACTCTATAGTTCATGTGATTTAGTTCATTCCGTTGAGTTTTTGATACATTTTACTGTTCAATTCCACATGGGTTGCTATTAGCCACATGGTATCACACATTTGACTTTGTATTATTGAAATGTATTTGTTTTTTTTAATGAAATGTATTTAAATTTACTAATTATTTACTAGTACAACTTATTAATAGGTTTTTGTAATAGTCTCATTTATATTGGCACATACCTTTTTTTCTCAAAACATATACGTAGTATATGCCTAAAATCTATGTTTTAATTAAAATAATATTTTAACAAAATGGATTAGTTATTGCAAACTATAATTACAGATTAATATTTTGAAAAACATTACTTGCATTCTAAGGGAGTGTTTGCAATCACTTAAAAAAAACATTTCTCAGCTTTTGGCTTAAAAAAGCACTTATTTACCAAACACTACCAATTTTTACTTTTTCTCGACTTGCGTGTGAAAAGTGCTTTTCCCCTTTCTATTACACAAAAAGCACTTATTTTACCAAACACTATCAACTTTTACTTTTCAAAATCACTTTTTTCTCAAACACTATCAACTTTTCCTACTAATCACTTTTTCCTTACATCTCCAAAAATGCTTTTTTTAAGCAGAAGCAGTTGCAAACACTCCCTAAGTAGTATGAACTACACTGCTTTTATATGCCAAAATCTGATAACTAATCGTTTTTGGTCCAGAATGATCATGATCCATCCAAGCTCATAGCAGAGACTCCATGAGAGAGAGAGAGGGGAGAGGGAGAGGGAGAGAGAGAGTAGGAAGGTAGAATAGGTTGTTGCTCCCTTAGTCTTGGTGGGCACCTAGTCTTGAGCCCAATACGGTCGACGGAAACGGATCCACAACAATATCAATGCATATTTCAAATGTACAATATTACATTGGATTCGCATATTGAAGTTCATAGGAGTTGATTATAGATCTAATTTAATAAGTTTTTATAAAAGAAAAAATAAGAAAAGAAAGCGAATTAGAAGATATAAAACAACCGGTTACATGCCTATTTTTTAGTCGGCCCATAAACAAAAAATTTGATTTTAGTAAAGAAACGGTATGTGACCCCGAAAAAGTAAGTTGTCAACAATTCACTTAGAAAAAGTTGCGAGCAGAAACCTAGCGTTGTTTTTCCCTAGCGAGAGCTCTCGCGTAGGGTTTTTCCTTCACCGCCCTGGTGCGGCGTTTCTTTCAATCGACGCAGCTCTGCGCCGAATTGCCTTGATTTTGACGTAGCTTGGGATGGATGATCTTGGCAGCGAGAAGATGGTGGAAGAGGCGGGAGAGAAGCGTAGGGATGATCGAGACATGATCAGCGTGGAGAGGTTGAACGCTCCATTCGATGGCATGAATTTGGGTCATACGGCAGGTACCCTACTGAGAGAGGGTATCATTAGAGCGACGGTCCGACCTCCACCTGAACCACCATCATGGGTTGTACGAGGGGCTAGAATCCGTGAAAGTTTTCCCAGTAATTTTTTTTGTTTGTCATTTGTTTTCTTGTGTTCATCTTTGTTATTGATTTTGACAGTTTGTTTGAGTTTTTAGTCTCTCTTTATGTCATTGGGTATAGTTGGATCTATGGGGACATGTTTGGCTGTGTCAAGTCCACTACATGGTTAGCGATTCGTGTTACTCTTTCAGATGTGACCGTCTCAAAGTCTGATCATAGGGTTTACAGTCGTAGTTGTTAGAGTTCAGTTGGTGTCGGTTTTATTTTCCCTGTGTTTGATGTAATGATCATGAATCTTTTGATATGAATGGAGGCTTGTTTTGATTATCAAAAAAAGATATAAAACAAAGGTCACGATGTTCATTGTTAGACTTTTAATACTTAACAACATATGTTTGATGCTCAATAAAAGTGCATTAATGCTCATTTAGTGGAAGACGCGAATTTCATTTAAAGTACTAAAATGTCACCGGCTGTACGGTGCTTACCTTATACCATCCTGTGAGTTATATACGGTCCGGAAATTAAACAAGATTTAATATGTACACGTTTTATTCGATAACATGAATGAAAAACGGTCAAACATTCGTTGAAAAAACATTATTGACTTTTAAAAAGGTGTAAATATATATCTAATTTATCTAATAAATAAAAAACTATAATATAATATAAAAATATAATAAAAAACTATAAGCACCAATAGAGGTAAGGGTTCAATAGGCATTGGAAAAATGTTGGTGTAATCAACAAGCATTAAGAAGTTGTTCACTAAGCATAATTAATCGTACGTTTTATACCTAATTGATATTTTTCACCACATATTCCGTTTCTATGGGTTATTTCCCCGTTAAGTATACGGAGGAGTAAGAGAAAACCAATCGTTTTCCTTTTTTTTAGTAATTCTTTCATCTGTATAAAATGTTGGACCTTGGTAAAAAAATGTTTTGTGTAGTACCTCTTTTATGATAATGGAATCCCAGGGCACCCGATTATTCATATGTTTTTATCTCTTTCTTCATTTCCAAGCATTTAAAAACAGAGAGAATTAGATCACAGTTCTCTGTGAAGAAGGTTAGAATTGATCTTATAAAGAAGTGGTTTAAAATCATTACAAATGTCGCTTATCATCGAAATCAGTAAATATTATTCTTAGAAATATGTTTCATTATTTCATTTTTGTTCTAGCTATGATTTTTGGTGTGGGAAACTCATACCATTTACTATCGTATTAATATGGGAGAATTGTCAAATACACTCTCGTAGTATATCATAAAAGTCAATTAAGTCCACGAACCCAAAAAACACTTAATTAAACCATCAAACTTTAGATATATATTACGAGGGCGTATTTGACCGTTTTCCCTATTAATATAATGATAATGGCTTCCAAATTGTTCTCATAAAGTTTGACCGCCTATTAGGCTTTTATTAATCAAAATTTTCATCATACAGCTTTACGGTTTTTGAAATTTGTTTTTAAATTTACATCCTGGGGCAATAGAATTTGAGATTTTTTTCAAAAATATTATTAGAATAAAACGTATTTATAAAAATATGACTAATAGCTACTACAATGTAGTGTCGATAACTTAAATTTAAATATTGAATATAAGTTACTATGATTTCATTACTACTATAGTCATTAATCACATTTTTGTTAACAATTTTTATTTTAGTCATAAATATGTAATTATTTCGTAAAATTTATTTCTATGTTTCTTCTGGAGCTAATTACCAAATCAAATTTAGTTTTAATTTGTGAATCTAATTTATTTCCTAAATTCCATTTATTGTCTTTTGTTTTCAATATTGATGTGGCTCTGTTAGTATCTTATTGAACTCTCATTGGTGTCATCATGCATGCCTACATGTAACCCTTGATTAGTAGTTAATAAGTACTGCATGTCTATATTGTCCGCGTACACTTATTTTATTATGGAACTAATTCAGCATCTATTCAGCACAAAAGGTATTCGCTAATATGCTTCAGTACCACTTTTTGTCAAAATTTGCTTCTACTTAGCTTTAAGTTTAGTCACTAATAAAAAGAATCTATTCTAAGTATGAAAAAGTACATAGGGTTTACGTTCTCATTGCAATAAACAAAATATATGTATCTACACCTGCGGTTATATCTTCAAAACATAGTAATGAGTACATAGAGCAATCAGAGTAAACAAAAATACATAGCAGAAGACAAGCTCACACATCAGTAAAGAGAATGAATATGGTTCTAATATCTTGGTCCACCACAAATTTCATTTGAGAATAAATTTATTTTAACCCGAAGGCAACCCACCAAAATCAGTGGGGTAAATGTTGGGGAACATTTACCAAATATTATTAAAGAAGCAAAATTTAAATGCAAGTGACAGGGGGGCAAACCAAAACTACCTTGCTTACGCTATTACTTGGGTTTGGCACGAGTTTAAGAAAATAAAGGGAAAAGGTTGTTATTTTACTATTCTAACCTCAAAAATTAAGAAAAAGAATTAGTGGGACATTAGAATAAACTCTTAAAGCATATTTTCATGAAAAAAGTGAAATATGTACTTTGTATAATGTTTTCTTGAAGTTGGCTGGTTTGGACCTCTCCTTCCTTTTGTTTGTTGTTACTTTTTTTCTTTGATTTTCATTTTCATAAAAAATAGTTTTTCTAATACTTAATATTTGAAGGGAAAAACTAAATAGAAAATGATGATGATGATGATAATGATGAGTGATGATAATGTTGATAATGATGATGATGATGATGATTATGATTATAAAAACTTAGAAAAACCTATTGCCAACATAGATACTGAGATTGGGCATTATCTTCTCGCGCATCGCGCGTTATTATAACTAGTGCGTGTATAATACGCTATCTATTACAAAACTTCAAACAAAAAATACGAGGTTTTAACTTGAACATTTAAATGATATAATTCATAAAAAAACATATATAGTAAAAAGAAATAAAAGTATACACATATTCAAGTAGCAAATCCCTTTACTACATAAAAGAATAATTCGTAATTGCATAAGTCGATGAAAAAATAAAAATAGTAATTAACTCCAAGACATAGTTTTGCAAATGAATGTTAAAAAAATAAGGCATAATAACAATAGAATGAGACTAAATAAAATCATTATCGTTATATGATCACCAATTAACACTGAAGTTGAACTCATCATTTTCATCAAGATGGCAAATGACATACTATGTATCAGAAAAGTTGTGCGACTGCTACACTTAAATTGTTTGTGTAAAAGTTTATACTAGAAAAATGTGAGGTTTAGAAAAACCTTAATTTGATATGCTTATTTAAAAAAACATTAGATAAATAGTACTCCCTCCGTCCCCCTAAGTTTGGGACGGAGGGATGTGGTGTGGTTTTTAAGAAAAAGTGGAATTGTGTGGTTGGTATTGAATTGATAAAGTATAAATAAAGTAAGAATGAATTCTAACCACTCAAATGTTACCAAATATGGTATGAGACAAACTTAGTGGGACGGACGAAAAAGGTAAAACGGGACAAACTTAAGGGGACGGAGGGAGTAATATTTTAAGTTTTGTTCTTTTAAGATGCTAGTTTTAGCCGTCATGCAATTAATTTTAGTATTTTTTAAAATTAATTTTAGTATTTAATAATTGTAATGTAACAATACAAAAACACAGGGTCACGGGGAGCAAGTCATCCTGTTTGCTTTTAAACTATTAT